TGTATTTATTTATATCCTGCTTCCCCACTACCACCAAAGTTGGAACTCAAAGTGGTTTACAATTTAAAAAAAATCAACTGAAAACATACAAAAGTCTAAATTAAAATAGAATTAAATTGATACAGTATTAAAATTCATTACTCATTAAAAGAATAAAATGCAGTTAAAAAGATAAAAGCACTTAAATCAAGACAATTAAAACAGTACAAAATCCCCAGCCCATTCTTTAAAGTCTTTCTGTTTGCTGTTACTTGCTATTATTGCTTCATGCCCCTCAGAATATAGTCTGCTACCATTACAGCCACTGGTTGTTTTTTTTAAAGTAAATAATTATTTGCATTTAAATTCTTTATAAATTACTATAATAGTTATTTATTTGAAAAAATCAATGTGTTACAAGTTCCTGGCCTGTGGAACACAAACATAGTGAAGAAGTCAGGCAAATCTCCTATAATTATAAAAACAACTAAGAAGTAATTAAAAACAACAGCATTTTTTTCTTCCCATTTATACTGAAACAGACCAAGATGGACACCAGCCAGGAGTGTAGCTATGTGGGGGGGAAATGAGGCTGTGACCCTTTCCAAATAAGTATTCTACACTGTATAATTAAATTTTCCTTCAGTCCCCGAAATTCTAGCATTGCAGAAAAATAATTTATACGTAGAATGCTTACATCTGCTGTGTTTGCACTCCCTTGTTCACTTTGTCTGTTCCTTTTCTTTGGATGTTTAAACTGTATTTCTAAATGCTCAACTGAAGTTTTAAGTTACTGCCACGCTAGAAATTTGGGGACTGAAGGAAAATGTCATGGAGGTAGCAAAATTCTTATTTAGGTGGACAGTGCCCTCATTTTGCCCTTGCCCCATAGTTACAGCCCTGTGTATCTCTTTGAATAAAACTAAAAAGTTTTGCAGCAAAAAGGGGGTGTGATAGAATCATAAGGTAATTATGCCTTTACTTGTAACAAATTCCTTTCCTGCAGCAGTAAAGTGTTGCTAACAGCTAGTTACTTCCAAATTCTGCACAGAACCTCATCCCAGGAGAACAAGGGTTGTAAAATAGAGGGAGCCCCTGAACATGCGCTTGCACATACCGTGACTATAAGTCAACCTCATGTATAGGTTGAGGGCAGGTTTTGGAGCCAAAATTATGGATTTTGATATGACCCGTGGATAAGTCGAGGGTACAACCTAGGGGCATGGAACAATGGACGTAAAGGACGAAGCAAAGGAAAACAATGCCAGGGAACTTAAAAAATTCCATCAGGGATAACTGTTTGTGCTCACACTAAAGGCTGGATGGAGGAAAGAGTGGAGGGCAGTCAGTCAGTGTTTCCAGTACTCTCTTACCTTTCACCAGGTGATGGTTCCTTTTTAAATAAGAACTAAAGAACAGTACTTACATTGACCCGTGGATAAATTGACTCTGGTTTTTGGGGTCAAATTTTTGAATAATTTCTAGACTTATATATAAGTGTGTGTGTATATCATATATATATATATATATATATATAGAGAGAGAGAGAGAGAGAGAGAGCAGTCCTTTTACTTCTGCTAGGCCAGGCCTACCCTTAAACATCAAGAATCTAAGGGAGGGAGAGTGGTTTGGCTTCTGGGCAAACTCCTGCATTTTTCTTTTTTGAAACTGGCTGCCTACTGCTGCTTTGACACACATCTGGAGGGTGGAAGCGAAGAGACTGGATTTGCCCCTTCTGCCTCACATGTCCCAGGAGAGCATGTAGGAGAACTTGTCTGCCTTCCCTGGGCCTGCGTTGTTCCTCCAAGCACCCACGTTGGAGCCCACAGCCTGCCGGGAGGAAAGAGCAGCCCAAAAGAGCAGCGGGAGGGCGTTCTCCTGCTGTGTCTTGTTTCCTCCCATGGCTTTCAAAGTACATGCAGATGCTTGTGATCTGCCTGGAATCCTAGATATGCACTGAGCGGTTGGAATACTTTCCCTGGAGACTTTCCGCTTCCACAGGAGTGAGGCGTGCAGGATTTGAGGGGGCTCAATACCCCGCTGAGGAGCAGAGCTGCTCAGATTGGGAGAACTATGATGCGGACAGGTAGTGGGAAAGTTGGCTGGGTCCATTTTGAGGAGCAGTGAGAACATCTGCAATTGCATTTTGACATGCTGGAATTGATAAAGGAGACTTTTTGGGGCACTTCATGAGCCACATGTGGTCTGCACTTTGCCTGCCTCTGATGTAAGGGAAGTCTTGTCAGAAGGGATGTACATATACATCAGTGGTGTGTGAATGCCCACACGTTCTTTCTTTTCCATCCACAAGCTACGTGGGCCACATTCCCAGCATTGCTAGGAGTGCCTAATAAGGACTTCTGGCAGATTCCCTGCAAACTGATGGGATTTGACTGATCTGAGTTAACTTAGGCCAAGAGCACTTTCTTGAACCCAGTGCTCTCCAGATGCTTGGGATTATGACTCCTGCCATCATTTTTGGTACAATTCATGCTGGCTGCAGATGATGTGGGTCCATAATTGGTTGGAAAATGATGCTTAAAGAGTTGTCATCAGTAGCTGTGAGAAGGTCTCTAGTGGAGCATCGCAGGGTTCTGTCCTGGGGCTGACACTCTTCAATATTTTTTATCAATGATGGTGTGGAGGGAATCCTTATCAGATTTGCAGATCTGGTATCTAATGGTATCTAACACACTGGAAGATTGGATCAGGACTCAGAAGTATATTGGCAAACTAGAAAGCTAGGCTGAAACTGACAAAAATTCAACAGACACAAATGCAAAATTATATATGCAGGCAACAAAAACAAAATACACAGGTTTGGGGGACATTTGGTATAGAAATACGATGTGTGAAAAAGATCTTGGGTTTGTTGTTGATGAAAAAGTGAACATAAGTCAGCAGTGTGATGCTGCCACAAAGAAGGCAAATGCCATCTTAGCCTGCATTAGTTGAAGCACAGTTTCCAAGTTGAGGAAAGTAATAGTCCCCCTACATTCTGTGCTGGTCAGGCCCTATCTGGAGTATGGAGTTTAATTCTCTGCACCTTATTTTAAGAAGGATATAGAGAAGTTGCAGCAAGTTCACAGGAGGGCAATACAGATGATAAGAGGTATGGAAAACAAAGCATATGATGGGAGAGGTTGAAGGAACTGGGCTTGTTTAGCTTGGTGAAGAGAAGACTGAGGTGTATGATATAATCGCACACTTTAAATATCTAAAGGACTGCTACAAAAAGGAGGACTCATGCTTGTTCTCTGCCTGCCTTAGATAAAAGAACAAGACCTAATGGGTTTAAATTACAGGAGAATAGATTTCGATTGAGTATGAGAAGGAACTTCTTGACAGTAAGAGAAGTTTGGCAATGGAACCAATTGTCTTGAGAGGTGTGGGGACTTCTTCTTGGTTGTTGTAAGCTTTCAAGTCATTTCCAACTTATAGTGATGCTAAGGCTAACCTATCACAAGGTTTTCTTAGCATGTTTCTTCAGAAGGGGTTTGCCATTGCCACCCTCTGAGGCTGAGAGAGTGTGACTTGCCCAAGGACACCCAGTGGATTTCTGTTGCCAAGTGGGGATTTGAGTCCTAGTCCAACACCCAAACCACTATGCCACACTGGCTCTCACCAAGGTCCTTATGAACTCTTTTGGTCTTTTTATAGGTGTGTGATGGTGTTGTATGACTTCAAGTCGTGTCTGGCTTATGGTGACCCTAAGGCAGGGGTAGGCAACCTTTCCCCTTTAAGGGCTGAGGGACTTCAGCTCCCAGAAGCCTCAGTCATGTTGGTCAATAGTCCCATGTTGGCCAATAGCTCCTGGGATTCTGGGAGCTGAAGTCCCTCAGCCCTTAAAGGAGAAAGGTTGCCTACCCCTGCCCTAAGGCAACACTATTACAGGGTTTTCTGAGCAAGTTTCTTAAAAGAGTCTTTGCTATTGCTATCCTCTGAGGCTGAGAAAGTATCACTTGCCCAAGATAATCCAGTGTGTTTTCATGGCCAAACAGGGATTTGAATCCTGGCCTCCAGAGTCATAGTCCAGCACTTAAACAACTATACTATGGTGGCTTCTTCTCTGAATGTCTTCAAAAAGTGGCTGGAAAGCTACCTGCTGGGTCTACTCTAGTGGAGATCCTGCACTGAGCATGGTGCATAGGACCCCTTCATGCTCTATGATTCTGTGATGGAAGTTGTAGTCTGGAAAGTTTGGCAGGTGTCAGCTTGAGGATGCTCAGACTGAGGAACACAACACAGGTAGCAGGCTACTTTTAGGCCTCAGGGAGTCACTTCAGAGGTTTGTCGTGTCTTCTGATCAGGACTAAGATGCCCAATATCCCTTCTTTTACAAATGCAGAAAAATTTAATGACACTTTTGTTCAAATATGTGGGCTTATTAACAGCAGAGATGGGGAAGGGTGGATTTCCTTTTTTAAAATGTATTTATTGCTTTTGCATCATTTTTAAAGGCCTAGCACTGTTACATATATAATAAATGATAAATATGTTTTGGGGTATTTCTATGCACTGGCAAATGGGGGGAAAGGCTGTGATTCACTTTAAAGCAATATTCTCTTTACAGCAGTAATCTGGAGCCTCACCTACTGTATTTAGCATGGTTATGCCTGTACAGTAAATATGGATTAAACAGGGATTAAATATTTTGTACTAACTGATCTGGAATAAATAGCCTTCTACAGCACTAATCAATTTGTCATTGCAAAGGAAAAGCCACTTAGGCTTGCCTGGAAACCTTGATCCAAGATGTAGGAGTGTCCTGTAGTTTCTCAGGACAAGAAAATACACTCTGCATATTCTCAGGGTCATTTCAACATTATTTTTCAACTTGTTCCAATGATTCCAAAGACTACCCTTCTTGTGTGCATGTGTTGCATGCCTTCAATTGGTTTTTGACTTATGACAACCCTAAGATGACCCTATCAGGGAGTTTTCTTGGCAAGATTTGTGCAGAAGTTTGCCTTTGCCTTCCCCTGAGCCTGACCTTGCCCAGGGTCACCTAGTGGGTTTCATGGACAAGCAGGGAATCGAACCCTGGTATCCGGAGTCATAGTCCACCATACAAGCCACTACACATCCCATTAAATTTCTTCACACCCTTCTCAAGCATTTATATCACTTCACAGGCAAAGTTTCTGTTGTTGTTGTTGTTGTTGTTGTGGGCCTTCAAGTCCTTTCTGACTTATGGCAACTTTATGGAGTTTTCTTGGCAAGATTTATTCAGAGGGTTGCTATTGTTTTCCATGCATAATATATAAACACCATTTGGGATCAAAAATAGATGGCTACGGTTGAAGGTTTTATGGAGCCAAATGAGCGTAGTTTCTTCAGGCACTTAAAGCGATGAGACGTCTGACAGGTCTCAGGAAATCTTAACTTTTTTGGCCTACAACATCCCAGCCTACATGACCACTGAGAGCAAAATATCTTTCCAAATTCTGATTCCCATTCCTCCTACTTTGGGCACATACGCTCGCCCACATTCTCATCGGGCTTTGAGGCTATGCCAAGGCAGGCACAGCCTTGTTACCTGTGGGGCTCAACTGTGCAATGCAGACTTGATCAGCAAAGGGCCAGATGCTCTGGGCTTGTCGACTGCAGCATGGGAGGCCTGGCATTTTGAATGTGGAAATTGCTCTGTGTGCAGCAGGAGCCACGGAGAGGAGGAAGTGGGAGTGGAGTTCCCGCAGGGCAGGGACATGCCTGTGGTTGGCTGATTTGATTATCTCTCTTCTCTCCTCCTTGGGAAAGGCCCCATGGGCAGCAGCTGCAAAGGGAAGGGAACCTTGGTTTGCCAAATATTAACTGCCACACACCATCAGGGCTTAGTTGAAATAAGGATTTATGACAAGAGATCTTGGAACACCTTTGAATGAATGAATGAAGAATGAAGTTGGCAGCATGAGCTTTCGTAGACTTTAGTCTACTTCCTCAGATGTATTTTGTAAGCTTAAGTCTACGAAGGCTCATGCTGCCAACTTCTTTCTTTCAGTGAGTCTCAAAGGTGCTACAAGATCTCTCTACATACTGATTCTACAGACTAACATGGCCATATATTTGAATTCTACCACTAAGCGCTGCCTCAGCATCTAGCCTTAAAACACATGAGTAATGAAGGTATGTGTGCCCCAGACCATGTGCAGAATGCTTCTTATTCCATTTCTGGAGAGTAACTACACCTGCCCTCCACACATTTAGGATAAGGGACAAATGACCTGAGCTAAGCTCCAAGCATCTTTCAAGCCTGACATGTCTGTTTAGCTTTTAAATGCATTTAGATGGTGTTATAGAGTACGGAGTAGCACTCAGAAATATCAAGTCACCTGTGTAAGAAATTGCCTTCTTTAATCAAACAAAGGGCAACACAGTTATGTTTGAAACATCATGTAACAAGTAGGAAATAATGTTAATGTACTGATGTAACATGGAATGTTTTCTAGTGAGTTTTAAATGTTGTTTTGAGGGTGTTTATAAGCATTTTGCAGCATTTTCCAGGTTTTAGACTGAACTGAACTTTTTTACAATGACACAAAAGAGCAAAAAAGTAACAAGTAATGCAACTACATTGGGATCTTGGTATCCACGGGAATTTGGTTCCAGGACATACACCCCCATGGTCTTCACTTTATTTTATTTATATCTTGCCTATCTCCCAACATGGGTTCCAAGGCGGTGTACAACCTTTTAAGAAACACGATACAATTAACAAGCTTTTAATACAAAAGTTAATTTCTTTTATTTAATTTGTTTAAGGGATTTATATCCTATCTTTCTCCCAAAATGGGATTCAAGGTGGCTTACAATAATTTAAAATGACAGAACTAAAAAACTGATTACAAAAGTTAAAAAAATTAAATATTAATACTAAAACATAAGAGTGCATAATTGTGTAAAACACAATTAAATCATATTTCTATTTTTAAAAACCTAGCTAAAATGTGGTTGAAAGCAGCTTTTAAAAAACACATATACAAATAAATAAAACAGGAACAACACCTTCTTCTCCCATTAAAAGCTCAGTCTGCCACATCGTATTATAAACTAAAAACAGTAGTATCACTAGGGTTGGTGTCACCGGGTGCAATAACTCATGGTGTCACTCCCCTCCATTGACCTCCTTCCATTTCACTCCATACAGAATCCTTAGTAATGCTTTTTTGCAGTAATGTTAACTCATAAATTGCAATTCCCATATACCCCGCTGAATGTAATGCTAATAGTTGTGACATAAACAACTAGCAAAATTTAAATTATACCATCAAATTAAAATATCATACGCACAACCTAAATGTATTTACATATACATAGTGAATATTTGGTTTAAACTGTGTTGTTTATAAAGAAAATTTTAAAAGAATATTTTTTTAAAAAAATCATTTTTTTAAAAAATAAATTTTTTGAAATTTAAAATGTTAATTTAAAAAAATTCTGGGGCCTCTCCTTTCTCCTCCCACTGAGCTTCACTCCGCTGCCACCATCTCTTAAAGCAATTTAAAGGGAAGCAGGTGAGTGCCACAGCCCTTTCTACCCAAAGGTAGGTGTTTGAGGCGCAGTGGTGTCACCGCCCCTTAAGGTGTCACCTGGTGCGGTCTGCACCCCCTTGTGACACCACTGATCAAAAGCCTTCTTAAATTAAAAAGCTTTACTTGCTGGCAGAAAGATATCAGGGAGGGGTCCAACCAGACCTCCCATGGAAGGAAATTCCATAATGTGGGAACCCCTGCCCCAGTACATTTGAACAAATGACTGCAACACAGCATGGGTAACATGAGGAACTTTAAGTCTCTAGGAAGTGGAATGCCCTCCTGAAGTAACTAAAAAGGAGTAAGAGGATATAATATCCCCATCTCTTCTTTCTAACTAGGGCTCGAATATTGCTAGTCTGTCAAATTAATACTACTGGAGATAGCTTTCTGTGAATTGCATTCTCCTTCTTATGTCTCTCATTCCCCCAGTATGATGCATATACATTATGATGGCCCTTTCCATATAGCCAATTATTTGGCGAACCTCTCTTTCTCTTGGCAAGTACCGCCATTTTTTCCTCTAAGGCTAGTGCAATGTATATTCTGTAGAACTACTTCGTAGTAGATTTGCTGGTGTTCCTTATGCTGAAAGAAGATGCCCATCTAATAACTTGGAAGTAGGGTCTATGCAACATATTTTATTGCACTGTAGTCTTTACAACCAGATTTGACAAGCCAAAATCCACCCATTATTAAGTAAGATGAATGGAAGATCAGAACTCTTTTATGTAAAATTCTTGCTGGAAGATAAATGCCCGAATGTCACTCTGGTAGTTGCCAAATTTCTCTCTGAGGCAGCTATGATCAGAGCCCACTCTATATAAAGGGACAGTTAGAGTTAGAATTAGAGTTTGAGTTAGAGTTATATTTAGCAACTTCCTCTCCTCTTGTTTGAATGTGGGGAATTTTATTGTGGGGAATTTTGAGAACTTGTATACTTTGAATGAATGCCTAAATTTTGGGTCTATGGACCATAATAAATTATGACTAAGAGGAACAAATTCAGACCTTTTCCACAAACGGGTGTTTTATATTGGTGAAGCGAAAGGTAAATTGCTTGATAAATTTACCTAGAGGAGGAGGAGGGAGAAATAAAGTGGCAGCATGCCGAAAACAAGTATAGTAGGCCCTTGGTATCCACTGGGGTTTGGTTCCAGGAACTCCAGTGGATAACAAAATCTGTGGATGCTCAACTCCTATTATATACGATGGCATAGTAAAATGGTGTCCCTTATATAAAATGGCAAAATCAAGGCTTGCTTTTTGGAATGTGTGTGTATATACACACACACGCACACACAAACTGTGGATGGTTGAATCTGTGGATAAAGAATCTGCGGATACAGAGGGTTAACTGTATAGTATTATGATTCCACTTTAATTACCATGGCAACATCCCATGGAATCCTGGGACTGGCAGTAAAAAGAGGGGCCTTTAGGATCCTCAGCCAGGGAGATCCTTCTCCAGTGCTTCTGACCAAATTGCACATCCCAGGATTCCATAGGAGGCAACCATGTGCAATAACTGTGTAGGATAAAAGAGGTGTTGTTGCTGTTGTGTACCTTCAAGGTGTCTCTGACTCATGAGGACCCTAAGGAGACCCTATAATAGGGTTTTCTTGGCAGGTATCTTCAGAGGGAATTTGTCATTGCCATCCTCTGAGGCTGAGAGAGTGTGACTTGCCCAAGGTCAACCTATGGGTTTACATGGCTGAGCCAGGATGCTGGCTCTTGAAAGAGGCATTGGTCAGAGAGAAGTGGATGGGAGAGGGTTTTTTTTTATATAGGGTCAGAGTAAAAGCAGATGGAGCAGTTGCTTCCTATCTATATGCAGCAAAGTAACAGCTACCATGATTCTTGGGGAGGAGAGGAACTCAAAAGAAGGGGATACATGTCCAACCAGCATCCACAAGAGAAAGGGATGGGGCAAGGCTATAGTTCTGGGCCTCCAGGACTTTTTGCCCCACAATAGCATGGGAATACAAACACAAGTTCCATGAATCAAGGCCAGTCACAGTTGTAGGATAAATCCCATTGGAGCCTTTCGCATGACACAATTACAGCATTTTGATCCCACTTTAACTGCCATGGTTTGCATCCTTTGGAAGGTGAATGTAGCTGCTGGGTGGGGGGATGAAGGCATTCCCCCCACAAATAATAAATCAAGGCTTCACAGTACCTTAAAAATAAGTTGAGGCATCCAAAGAAAAGAGGCAGCAAAATTATCAAGGGAAGGAGAACAGAGCAAATGTGAGAGTTCTAGGTGTGAATAGTTTTCTGTGGCTCACTCTGCATTGCTAGAAGTTTAGGGACTGAAGGAAAAATTAATTTAAAGGGGTAGAATTTTTATGGGGGAGGGAAAGCCCTAATTTTTACCCCTTTGTATCTACATTCCTGCTGTGGAATTAGATCTTATGTAGTTTTGCAAGACACTGGAGTGCTCTGGCAAAGAAGTCTAAATACTACATGAAACTATACATCCCAGGATTCCATAGGATAAAGTCTTGGCAGTTAAAGAGGTTTCAAAGTGCTGTAACAGTGTAATGTGAAAGGGCCCCTCAAAAGTAAACCTTAATGAAGTATAAAAAATACATATATGCATTTCTGAATTGTAATTGGTAATTGTAATTGTAATTACAATTGTAATTGTAAAGGTAATTGGCCCTGGATGGAGATGTTTCAGTTGTGGGGTACCAGTAGTCAATTAAGAAGTCGCAAAGTTTCATTACCAGGGAAATTTGGCTTTTCCATGAATCCCCACTTCTCCATTCAGTAGCATAGAGGACCAGGATATAGTAGTAGTATTGGGAATGTTAGGGCCTTATCGCATGAGAATAAATCTCAAACGGAACAGGAGAGTACCAGCTTTCTCCGTGCTGCTCCACATGACATCACAGCATTTCCATTCTCTTCCCAAGGGGAGACAGTCATAAAAGAGTGCCTTTTTACAAATGGATTTTTCCAGCATGACAAAAGACCCACTTTTATTATTATCTGCTTTGGGAAAACAACGTAATATGGTACAGCATGGAGAAAACCAATACACTTCCATTCTGTTTCAGATTTCTTTTCTTGTGTGATAAGGCTCTTAGACTCTTACCCTCAACATACCAACATCAGGTTTAAATGCTGATGTAAAATGTATGACTTTATTTATTTAAAATGTGATAACTCCTGTCTCATTCTGCTACTTGTGTCCCAAAAGTCCTGCTCTCATGGCAACACTAATAGTTGATGGTCTCATAGCGTAGCAATATGTCCTGCCAGCCAGCATGCCCTGTCCTCTCCTGGATAGTCCCTTGCCAGTTAGCAACTGTGATGGACAGTGACTGAGATGTGAGCTATGAGATGTGGGATCAAAATGGAGGTGAGACAGTGCTCTCCCCCAATCATTCTTTCAATCAGAATTCTTTATTATGAGTCAAAAGTGAAATCCCAAGTTAGGGCATGAAATGGTCATAATTAAGCATTTATGCATAACTTTCTGACATTTATGGCCACAATTATGCATTTATGAGCAACTGTCTGACAATTATGGCTGCTAACATTATTGAAAGCATGTAGAGAACAATGCCTGCTGACACTGCAAAAATCAGGAGTGTGGTGGAATGTAGCTCTTGCTTATTGGGAAAGATACTTTGTTAAACTAGAAATCCCTGAATCCACACTGGCTGCAGGATTCTGGGAGTTGTAGTCCAACAAAGTAGCTTTTCCAAACTCTGGTGAAGGCTTCACAATACTGTGCCTCTCCCCATGGTGTCAAATTTATTTGTTGCAGAAGGAATTTTGTAAAATAGCTTTTTAAAAAACTCGTTAAAGTACAACATTAAATTGGAGTAATGCATACATGAGTATATATGTTACTTAATACAGGTTTTTATGGTGACACAGATTTTTTATTTTAAACATTGTCACACAGCTCTGACTATAAGGGCTAAGTGACCTGGTGCTCTCTCCAGATGTTTTGACTGCAACTCCCATAATCCATAATTGTAGTGGATGAGGTTTATGGATTTTTAGTCCAAACCCCACCTCTCTTTCTCTTACAACAGTTGCAGGAATATGATAGAGTTGGCCTTATCATAACCAACAACCTCTCCATGTAATTAGAACCACCCGATATCAGGTTTTGTGACCCAGAGAGGCAGTGTCATCCATTGGTTAGAGCCAGCACCCATGAATCCCTGAGAGTTCCTGGCATTCAGATACCTTTGGCTTTCTTCATGGGTTATGTTCCTAATCCGTTGCCCTTTGCAATCCCAAGCTGCTTTAACAAACAGTTTATAATTAAACCTAATTAGTGAGGGGGGCATAATTATATCCATTGTCAGGCACAAGCCTGTTTTAAGGCCCGGCACCCAGAGGAATATGGAAATTCAAGGGAAGGATTTCTCTGAGAGTTGGCTTCAGCAGCCAAGCTGAGAAACAGGCCCTTATACAGACATGGGGATTCTGGATATGTGTATACACATTCTGCATAGAGTGTAAACAACACAGAAATTGGCTGAACTGAAGCTCTGCAGCAAGCAGCCAGGGCCAGCCCAAGACTTTTTGTGGCCTGAGGCGAAGGGCAAGATGCTCCCCATTGAAGAACTGACTTTCAAACAACACTAAACAGAGTTCCCCTCTTCTTTGGCCCTGAGGACTGAAGGCCAGTTTATCCAGTTGCCGGATGGGCAGCATGGCACAAGCAGGCTAGCATCAATATTGTCCCACTTTTCCAGCTGCTTTCAAAATGTCCTGGTTTCTCTCTCCTCCTCCCACTTTCCCCCTTTGTCCTCAATAATTTTTACCATCCAGACTCCAGTCTGATGTTCCTTGGCTACATGCGTCTCTGTGTTCATCCTGGGAAATTTAAGATGGTAGAGCCAGTGTGGCATTGTGGTCTGAGTGTTGGGCTGTGACTCTGGAGACCAGGGTTTGATTCCTAGCTCGGCCATGAAACTCATTGGGTGGCCTTGAGCAAGTAACACTCTCTCAGCCTCAGGGGAAGGCAATGGCAAACCTCCTCTGAACAAATCTTGCCAGGAAAGTCCTGTGACAGGTTCACCTTAGGGTCATCACAAGTCAGAAATGACTTGAAGGCACACAACACACAAACAGGGGGTAGCTTGTGGCATGCTTGGTTGGCACCATGGCAGAGAGTTCTTTCTTTCAACACCTTGCTGATACTCCGAGAATCTGCTGCCTGAGGTGATTGCTTCGCTCTGCCTGATGGTAAGGTTGGCTCTGATCATGTTGTTTTTGTTGTGTGCCATCAAGTTATTTTCAACTTATGGTGACCCTAAGGTGACCATATCATGGCAAGATTTGTTCAGAGGAGGATTGCCTTTGCATGCCTCTGAGGAAGAGAGCATGCGGCTTGCCCAAGGTCACCCCGTGGGTTTCATGGCTCAGCAGGGAATTGAACCCTGGTCTCCAGAGTTGTAGTCCAACACTCAACCACCATGCCACATTGGCTCTGATCATAGCTTTCTTGATTTCCTGGTCCCCATTTATAGGTTAGAAACTGGAGCTATTCTAGCAGCTGGAACTTATAGGAAGGTCTGCAGAGCAGGTTTCCTCAAGTGACCTGTTGAGGAATGTGCAAGAGAAAATGTTGCAGGGCTCTTTTACACTATAAAGTTATAGCACTTTGATTCCACTATAGCTGTCATGGCAACATTCTATGGAATCCTGGAGTTTGCAGTTTGGGGAGACACACTTACAATTCTCAGCCCAAGAGCTCCTTTGAACAAACTACACCCCCTGCACAGGATTTCATAGGATATTGTAATAGTAGTTAAAGTGGAACAATTGTGCAATCATTGTGTAGGGTGCATGGGTCCACTGAAAATAAATTGCAGCATTTCATACATGACTGGAGGAATTGCTGTTTCTCCTCTGCATGGCTTTTGTGTGCTTACACACACACCTGCCCTTATTATTCTGAAATAAATTTGATAAATTTGCAATTGAAATTTAGCACTACAAACCAATATCCAAGACCATGGACCTTTTAAAAGAAACTTTTCCATGAATTTTAAGTCTTATAACGTGGTTTTGAATCCTTGTTTCTTCAACTATGCCAATGCCACATGAGGGTTGTCACTCCCACCCACCCCCAAGAGGCTCCCCATCTTTAATATCTATGCATGAGGATAAGTCCTAAATATTTAAGGCACCAGATCCCATCTGACCTTGGAAGCTAAGCAGAGTGAGCTCTGTTAGTACTTGGATGGGAGACCACCAATGAATATCAGGTTTGTTGTTGCTGTGTACCTTCAAGTCGTTTCCAATACATGGTGATCCTATTTTGGGGTTTTCTTGGCAAGATTTGTTCAGAGGAGTTTACCATTGCCTTTCCTTGAGGCTGAGAGCATGTGACTTGCCAAAGGTCACTCAGTGGGTTTTATGGCTGATCTGGGAATGAAACTGTGGTCTCCAGAATTGTAGTCCAACACTCAAACCACTATGCCATGCTAGCTTTGAATACCAGGTACTGAAAAGTATACTTCAGAGGAAGGAACTGGCAAAACCACCTCTGAGTATTTCTTGCCTAAGAAAACCTATGAAATCCATGGGGTCATCATAAATCAACAGGCCACCCGAAGTCTCTCTCTCACACACACTGTAAAAAACCGAATGTGCCAGAAAGCAGGATTGATAGATTTCCCCCATCTTTGTGGGAGGGGACGTCTTACTGAGTCTTGTGCCATGATTAAATTCCAGAAAAGTAATTTTGATAATACATGGGGAGCACTGAATTCAACTTAATATTTTTATGTGTGTGTGTGTGTGGGGGGGAACACTTCCAAGTAGACAGAGCCTGGCATTCCCAGCCAAAAGGTATTGTGCAGGCATGCCATCTTTCCCTCCTTTATGGACAATCTGTATTATGGAGGGAAAAGTAACACATGATGAAATGATGGAAAAACTTGGGAAGGTTACAAAGAGAAGACAATAATGTCAAGGGACTCCTCATAATATTCTGTGAATGAGTCAAGTCAGTTGCACAATTAAATGACAAAATAAAAGCAGACAGCCTTAAAGTAGGAATAGAAATCCTACAGACTTCCAGATGCTACTGAACTGCAACTCCCAGCAGCCCTAGCTAGGCTAACCAATAGATGATTAGAGATGCAGTACAACATTATATGGAAGACCTACTATTTCCCCCTTCATTCTGGAGCTATCAGTCATTCAGAAGACACATTGCAGGTTATTTGGCTTTTTCTTGCTTAGGGATGGGTATTTTGTGGAAAGGCAGAAGAGGGGACAAAGGTTAGGAAATTATAAAAGAGTTACAAGTGGAAGGCAATATTTTCTGGACCCCGCTCCTGGTCTGCCACTCCTAAATTTTGTGAATGTGGCTGGGTGACTGTACAATAAAAATCTCATCAGTAGCTCTTCCAATTTATTTGGTTAATTAATGAATAAATTAATTAATATCTTGTCTTGCTCTCATCATGGGGTTCAAGGTGGCATACAGCATCTACGGTAAAAACACATTACAATTTTAAAAGTTCTTAATACAAAAATTAAGACACAATTAAACTAATTTTGATATTGAAAACAAACATTAAAAAGACCTAGAATCAAGAGACCATAAACTTAAAGGCTATCCATGCAGGAATACACAATGAAAGCAGTCCTGACAGATGGCCATCCAGCCTGTTTAAAAGCCTCCAAAGAAGGAGACTTCACTACTTTCCAAGGGAGTGTCTTCCACTGTTGAACAGCTCTTACTGTCAGGAAGTTCTTCCTAATGTTGAGGTGGAATCTCTTTTCCTGTAACTTGAATCCATTGTCCAGGTCCTCATCTACTGGAGCAGCAGGAAATAAGCTTGCTCCATCCTCTATATGATACCCCTTCAAATATTTAAACATGGCTATCATGCCACTTCTTAACCTTCTCATCTCCAAGCTAAACATACCCAGCTCCCTAAGCCTGTCCTCATAACTCATGGTTTCCAGACCATTTGCTATTTTGGCTGTCCTTCTCTCAACACACTCCACCTTGTTAACATCCTTCTTGAATTGTGATGCCCGAAACTGGGCACAGTATTCCAGGTGAAGTCTGACCAAAGCAGAATAGCGTGGTACTATTACATCCCTTAAGACACTACACTCCTATTGATGTAGCCTGGCATCATATTGGCTTTTTAGCTGCTACATCACACTGTTGACTCATGTTCAGCTTATGATTGAACTAATGTTTTTAACACAAGCTAAAAACACACATTAAAACTGCATTCAAACAGCTTGAAGAAAACACTACATCCTGCATTATATGCTTTGACCGTTGCAACATCAGTCAGCCCTCCTTATCGACGGATTTTTTATCCATGATTCAAGCATCCACAGCTTAAAAATACTTTAAAATATATATAAATTCCAGAAAGCAAACCTTGATTTTGCCATTTTATATATTTTCTATGCCATTGTATTGAATGGGAATTGAGCATCCATGGATTTTGGTATCCGTGGGGAGTCCTGGAACCAAACCCCAGTGGATAACAAGGGCTCACTGTACTAAAAAAAAGAATGTCTCCTTAAATAAAAAGATCTTTACTGTTAGCGGAAAGGCCACAGCCTTTGTATAACAGTCCTTTGATTTAAGATATTGATGTCTAAGTATCTTGATTCCTTTATGAATAATGAGAAACAGCAGGATTGTTCCTGTAATTCTTAATGTATTTGTTTAACCACGTGGTGCTGGGTGGAGGACTTGTCTTGACTGTGTCAGATCAACTTATAAGGCTCCTGAAAAAGTTGGAATGATCTAGAAAGTTGAAAATGGTGTCAGTGACCTGCCATGGCCAGCTTTCATTAAGCTTACTCTTAATTTAATTAAATGGCAACATAACCAGGTCTGTTTGTTAGTTGGCAGCAGTCAAAATACACAGTTTTTCATATGGACATCTTGTGACTTTTTTTTATTACTGTACTACAGTCATTACTTCCTGTTGTTCATGGGGTTCAGGCTGGGAGTGCCTTTGTTTATGTACCCAAACTGGCACTATATTCACAAAAGGAAAGCTTTAGCAGCCTTGGGCAACCTCAAGGCTTGTAGAAGGGAAAAAAAATCCTAAAAGAGATGGAGAAGCACTACCCAATTATGATGCACCGTGCAAAATAGCTGTGGAATATGGACTTGCTATTGCAGCAGGATGGACCTGGGTGGAATTCTGAATGGCAGTGTTTCATACTGCAACATTTTGCTGCAGTTCTTTATTTTAAATAATACAGTGCCTTAGGGTCCCTCTATATAGGAGATGTGAATCATATGGCCTAAGGGCCACAAGCAGCCCTTTGCGGTGGGTTCAGTGCAGAACCTGAGACACCACAATTCTCCAAAGGTCTCCAGAACTGCCCCTTTTCCCCACAGCAAAAACTCTATTAATTTATTAAATATTTATACAGTGGGCCCTTTGCATTTGCTACAGTTATGGGCACAGGACCTCCATGTGCCCATAACTGTAGCAAATAAAAAAAATAATATATATATATTTTACCTGAGAGGACACCACTCGAGGAATCCTTTGGTCCTCCAGAACAACTTTGTGGTCAACAACTGCCAGAGGTTGACCACAGAATTACACTGGAGGACCTACAAATGCCCAGAGAAGTGTTTTCTCGATCATCAAGAGCAACAGTTCAGCTTCCAGCATAGTTGCACTGGAGGGACTAGAGATTCCTAGAGAGAACATATAACACAAATCTGCAAATAATGAATGCTGCAAAAGTCAAAGCCGAAAGTGTTGTTGTTGTTATTGTGTGCCTTCAAGTAATTTCTGACTTATGGAGAGCCTAAGGCAAACCTATCATGGGTTTTTCCTGGCAAGATTTGTTGACAGGAGGTTAGCCGTTGCCTTCCCTTGAGGCTGAGAGCATGTAACTTGCCAAGTCACCCAGTGAGTTTCATGGCCAAGCCAGGAATTGGTGTCCAGAGTCATAGTCCAACACTCAAACCACTATGCCATGCTGGCTCTCTATTTATATTTATATCCAACCTTATATCATGGTATTTCAGGGGAGGGTAAAAGCAAAGTTGATATAAACCCTTCAAAATCCTTGTAAATGTCAAACAATAAAAATAATTGAAATGGACCAGAAGCCAGTGTGATGTAGTGGTTTGAGCATTGGACTATGACTCTGAAGAGCAGGATTCAAATCCCTGCCCAGCCATGGAAAGCCTTGGGCAAATCACAGCCTCAGAGGATGTCAATGGCAAACCCCCTCTGAAAAAACATGCTAAGAAAACTCTGTGATATGTTCACCTTAGGGTCACCATATGTTGGAATTGACTTGGAGGCACACAACAACAACAACATTTTAAACAAATAACAGTTGAAAATGTGTCAGAATGTTAAACCAGTTTAAAAACCATGTGCCTGTACATTTTGGAATTCATGAATCAGGAGCCAAAGGCTTTAAGTCTTTTTAAGTCTGAAAGCAGTGTAGGTGCCAATTGTGTCCCACATCCTCCTGATATAAGAGAAGGTGGGCCCACTAGAAGATCTCAGGGTATATATATCTTGGGCAGGTATATGTAGCTTGTTTTTGGCAGAAGAACTTGCTCAAATGCTTTAAGCAGCCTTTAAAAAGTCCAAAAACACTATCTAGTTAACTGTGTTACCATTGACTGATGCATGTTTTATGTTTGTTTGTTTGTTTATTTATTATTATGTTTTTAAACATCCCTCATCCTTACAAGAGCAGTCAGCCCTCCATATCCATAAATTCTGCACCCATGGATTTATTGACAGTTTGAAAATATTCACACACAGAACAAATCCAAAAAGAAAATCTTGATTTTGCCATTTTATTAAGGGATGCCATTTTACTA